ACTAAGCCGAAGGAAGCCCAAAAGAGTGATTGTGAGGTTTCGAAGAGACTATGAAAAGATAGAGAATATGTATGAAAAGATGTAAAAATTATTTGCAAATATATATTTTCTTATAATCTTATCTTATTACTATACTACTATATTACTATTCATCGATAATAAGAGAAAGGTACTTAAACATTGTTTTCCCTCAATACAAAGTATTAGTGTAAGGTTGCTACTTATTTTCGGTTCTACACAATTTATCTAAAACATCGAAATATGAATATCAAGGGAAAGGTATTGTTGAAAACTTTTGTCTGAAAATATTTTCGATCAGAGTTGTCACGCTTTTATGTAATATAAGTTTTTATTTTGTTAATTTTAATCAGCTATTTTTTGGTATGTATACATAGGGTTGCCACCTAAAACTTAAACTAGAGTTCTTTATAGATACCAAAATCTATTTTTTTTTAATTTTCTTCCAAAATATTTTTTTAAAGCTATCTAAGTGACTAGTATTTGATACTCGAACCTTAAAAACATTAAGAAGTATGTGCACTCCGAGAAAAGCTCGGTCCACTTGGTACTATTATATAATATCTAATTTATTCGTTTACTTTTGCTAAACTCTTTTTTCTACTTCATTTATATTTTAATGCATTTATATCTTCTCTTACTTCGAAAAACGTCGCCAAATGGTGCAAGCCTTTTCCTGATCATCGAAATCCGCCACATCCGGATGCAAATGATAACATTTATTCTTCTCTAATTCCGCATAGTACCACAGCAGCTGGTTCAGTCCACAGCCGAAGGCAAACAAAACCAAAGTGTAGATAAAGAAGAATTTTATAATGTCGATTATCATGCGGCCCAAAGAAACTTGCAAGGGTCCCAAATGTGGATTAATGGAGAAGATATGGACCAATTTCAAGTAGGAGAAGACCATAGCGGCAGCAAACGCACCTTCGGATAGCAACATGGGATCGAAAGGATGCCAGTGTTCGCGGGGGAAGTAGGGATCAATGCCGCGATACCATAAATCGCGCTGAAACAAAAAAAAAAGATAAAAAATAACTTGGTAAAAGAAATTGGTATGAATAGCAATGTGTGTTTAAACGATAAGCATGCCATACGACTTAGGGCCGTTTGCACCATGTCTAGTTAATTCTAACTCCCAGTTAAACATCTTTATCGACGTTATCGACACCCATCATATAACATGTGATCGATAAAGCAGTTAACGTGCTTAACTGAAGGATGTACCTCCAGTTAGCGTTAACTAGACATGGTGCAAACGGCCCTTAAAGTATAATTATTTTTGACATGTTTTCTTTGTTTTTAATATAATTGCTACAGTTTAAAAATCAATAATTCCGCTCCTTGTGATATTCCGGTTAAATAAATAATTTGGCTGAGACATTTAAGTAATAATTGAGGTATTTCGATGAAACTTTGTAAAAGATACTAGAAGAACAAATATTTTTAGATGTTGGAAAAAATTGTCTCACCACTGTTTTGTAGCTACCATTAGGACACTATGTCATTGAATTAAATTAATTGACTTAAATATTTTTGAACAAATGATACCGGTTTTTTTTGCTCCTTATATTTTTAGGCTTGAGATTTTTCTCGAACTTTACTGAGGACTCAGAAATTTTCCTGACCGTTTGGGAATTCTCAATGGTTATTAGGATTTTTCGCATGCTTAAAGTTCCACTGTCCATTTTTACTTTTACTATGCTTTTTATGAATTTCTAAAAAATTAACAGCTAAAATTACTGGCTGTTTTCCGCGAAAACAAATGAATGAGGCGAATATTTCCTTATTTGATTAAGAAATGGGAATTTTAATTTGTTTATTCTTTAACTCTAGGGATTGCAAAGTCGACTTCGACTTTCGACCAAAATCGACTTTTTACTTCTGAATGTCGAACTTTCGTGATCGAATTTCAGTTTATTTGCACTAGCGCCTCTTTAATTAAAGCGTTTCTTCTAACAATGCCGCGGAGTGGTGTTTTGGTCTTATTAAAAAAAATGCCAAAAAACTAAAGTTAAATGTGAAAAAGGTGGTGGAGAAATGAATTTTAGTAACAGTACAACAACACTGTCAAATCATTTAGGAGCATCATATAAAATTATTATACGAAAGAAAATTCCTCGAATTTAAAAACAATGCGACCTTCAAAATCTTCAGTTAATAAAGAGGTAAGACATTTCATGCAAGACAATTTTTTCCATGAGTATACATAAACACCGATCAAGATGTTGCTGTTATTAAATTTCTACCAATACTCGCCACCTCAGTTCTATCGGAAAGGCTTTTCTGCCGTATAAGGCTTATAGCATCGCATTTATGCGAGGTATGAACGCAAAATGATTCCGTTAGTTTTACTTAGAAATTCAAAATTTATATTAAAGTGTACATTTGAATAAAAGCATTTTCACACTGTCATTATTTATGGCTGATTCTTAATATGTGAGCAACACAGAGGCTCCATAAAATTTGTATCGTTCATTAAATGTAATATTTATAACAAGGAATCTTGTCGCACGGTAAAAAATTTTCAAAAAGTGGTTCGCGATTACCAAATATCGATTCAAGATTTTTTTTAGAAATCTTCCGAAATGTTTTTTTTTTGTGAAAATTTAAAAATGTTTAAATTATACCGTGCAACTAAATACAACAAGCAAGAAAAAACCCAAAAAAAAACACTATTTGTTTGTTATGAAAAATGGAAAAAGTAACAGAGCCAAACCGGCAGAAGTTGTAGCAGCTCTTTCGGGGATCATCACATCTCCTCATCAGATTTTTTTTCTAGACTTCAGCAGGGAAGCTCTTCCTTATTCAACCTACTACTATCCTGCTGATGGTAGCCGGTTGAAACTTGCACTTCATAAGACTTAAATTGAAATGAAACTTTTCTAGAAATTCTAAATAAAAAGTTGAAAATGTTGATATAATTTTTTGAATTTCTGTGAACTTTATATAAAGCGTGAAACTATAATATATATGATTAATATTAGAGAATGAACTATG